GGTCGAGGGAAGGTTTCTTCAAAGCAGAGGAAGCTTACTCGTGAATCAGTCTGAAAGTCAAGTTACTTCCCCAGTGAAACATCCGATTTTATAGTATTTTGATTCATCAATAACTAGTTTGATATAGAAGCTATTGTGATTGTGTTTTATGTAGGGTGTTACCTTTCCAATGAACAGTTGAACTAATTTAGACCAAGCATCCCTCTTCATAAGTCAATCACCGGTCAAGCACAACACTCTCTGTTTCAGTGACCTTCAATTGAACGGGTTTTTATTACTTGTCTGACACTGACATAGATATATTGTACTAAGAACATTTCTTTAATCACCAACAGAAGCTGATCAATGAAAGTAGACATCACTAAGATACTGATCTTGTAAGCTACTAGACACGCTGTCTGTCAAAGCTTTGGTTGATAATCACTCTCAACTTGCATCGGGAATTAAAATTCTGAAACTCTAATCCAGTTAGCTAAGAAAGAGCTCGGCTCTTTTTCAAAGGCACTGTCATTGTTACATAAATTAACACTTTTTATCTGATAAGCTGTTTTATAGCTGTTGGAAATTTGAAACAGTTATGAGAGTTAGGTTAGTTTTTGTCCATCTTTAGCTTACCCTCCTTATGCTAGTCATGCAAATGATGCAAAACTTCAATAGGAAGAAAAACCATAGTTTGATGAAAATGAAAAACAATTATTTAATATTTTTATTATTTCAAAAGTTACTCCAACAACGTTAAATTACTTGGGCTCATAAAACTATTACACATCAAACTATCGCAAAACTGTTCGCGGCAAATCTGCGGTTGCTTTAGAAATTTAATAGCTTTTTTCTCCAAGTATTTAAGCTATTTTTCCGTTTTAAAATCCAGATGATTCTTTTTTGCAAGCTATAATATAGAATTTAAAATTAAAGCTTTTCTTCAACTTAAAAGCACTTAAACTGGTTTATTATTATTATTTCATGGTGACATGGATCTGAAAAACCTCTTTAAACTATACTAAGGGAGCCCATTTCATACGGAAATATTTTTACGGAAAAGTTTAAATAGTATTTATTTTCCTCTAAGTGGAAAAATCAATACAAATCGGTGAATTTTTTGTTGTTGAAGTTTTATAGTTTTCAAGAAATATGTAAGCTATTTTTCCGTTTTCAAATCCAGGTAGTTCTTTTTTTGCAAGATATATCGAATTTAATTTTAAGGTTTCGCTTCGAGTTTTAAGCGCTCAAACTGGTTTATTATTATTCCTTGGCGAAAGGGGTTCGAAAAACATCATTAAAATCTACTAAAGAGCCCGTTTCATGCAGACAATTTTGACGTGACATGGGACCTCACGTAAAAATATAATTTTATATAATAATATTTTTGGAATGTATGTAAAAATTACATTTCAAAGACTGAAGTTACATTAAAGTACTTTTTGTTTGAATATAAAACAGAACTTTCCGTTTTCATTAGTTCAAAATTTTTTCCTTCATTCATTAAACTATGAAAAAAAGAAAACAGATTGTATTATAAAATGCAGCTCTTGAAAATCTGCAGCTCTTATAAAATGCAGCTCTGCTTAAATTGCAAAAAAAGGTACGTTAAAATTGTGAAAAAACTTAAAATCTTAAGGCAAAAACTATTTTTCCTTAAATTAATAAAGGGAAAAATTCATTCTTTTTAGTTTCAGAATTATAATTTTTTCCATGCATTTTATATATTAACTGAAACGTTTATGTCGGTTATTTTAAACAGTGGGAAAAAAAAGTGTAAAAAAGAAAAATCGGAACATTTTAGTAAAAATAAAATTATGCAGATAAATTTTGAGGAGAAATTCTGGAAACAAAACTGTCAAGAACTTATTTTTGATATACAAATTTAATGTTTGTAGTGTATAATATAGTTTTTTTTTCTATCCCAATTTCGTCTGAACATTTCCTATAATAATTCCCCTTTTGTAATCAGAAACTTAATCCGAGTTTTAACAAGATCTTGAAAACAAAAACATTGCAGAAAAAAAAACGCATAAAACAATTTTGAAATTAATGTATATCTTTCCCTTATTGAAATGCGTACGATACGAATAGAATAGATACGAATATTCAAAGGATAGAATAGAAATTATACTAATAGTAAACAACTCAGAACGACGATTAACATTAAGCAAACTGGAAACTAGGAGTCACGAATGATGCAAAAATGTACCATTGAAAATTTTCTAAAAAATTAACATTTAAATTTTAACAATTAAACTTTTATAAAACGTTAAAATAAAATTTGATCTGCTTTGGTAAACTTTGTAGGGTTAACCAGACTTTTGAGTTTTCGTTTATAATAGGACCAATTTACGTCATAAAAAGTTTCCTGTTTTCTTTACCTTTACAAATAATAGATTTTAGTATTTTATTTACTAGTCATTAATTTGTTGAATTTTCAAATTGAGCCATTCGTTTCTGCATAGAAAAGAAAAGTCACATAATGAAACTTTTGAGGGACTGCTTATCTGACGCTGTGTAAACTTACATCAAGTTTCAAGAGTTCTTTGTTTAACAGCGGAAGTGCTCCACGTTTTAAAACGAGATTTTTGTTTGCTATCTTGACACTTGTCATGGCTACTCTCTAAAGATGTTTTGTGAAGGTTCGTTTTATTTGATTTTGTAGACAATTTATACACACTAATGTGTCAAGTTTCAACAAAACTATCATCTTGTTTTCAATGATTTTTATTATTAGCTTAAAATAATAAATAATTTTTTTTCTTCTTTTTAATCTAAAGGAAGGTAAAAATAAAGGCGTAAGATTTTTGTTTATTAAATTATTCGGTTTCAATAGATAATTATCTTTTTACTTCATGAAATTTTTCTCTAAATTACTTAATTTCATTAACTTTGAATTATTTAATTCAGTTAATTTTGAATTATTAGCTTTAAATATGAGAGAGTTTATAACGATGATAAAAGCTGAAATAGCAAATGTCTGTTGAATTTAGTGAATATACTAAGTGATAAAAAAGATTTTAAAAAAAATAATAAGCCAAACAATAAAACTGCGCAAATTCAATAGACACGTATTTTATGGATGGTTAAATGGTTTTAAAGGAATTTTTCTCCGATATAAAAATTTTTAAAGAGGAGAGAAACGAAACAAAATAAAAACAAATTCAGGGATAAATTTTTAGAAGAAAGGCGTAGATTCAAATTTATAGAAAATAAAAAACATATTAGAAAATAAAACTAAAATGGTGTGTAATAAATACTTATATTAAAAATTAGCGAAACAAATTTTCACAATTAAAATAATCCTGATGTTGAAAATCTAATCGGGGAATTGATCAGTGTTTCTAGTTGATTTCCTAGTTGCGTTCGCTTGTTTTTGGTAATATATTGTTTCAAGTTGAGTTTGATTTTATTCCATCATGATATATTGAGCTTTTGCATTGATTTCTGCAATGCTGTATTCAGTTTTTGAGTCATTAAACGTAATCTCAAATCAGGTTCATTCCTGAAGTGGAAAATTTGGGAGAGTTCTTGAAACAAATTTAATCCAAAATTTGCACGCAATATTCACATTTGTCTAATTTTGCATACTTAATTTTTAGGCTTTAAATCTTTTTATCATATAAGACAATTGAAGTGAAAAGTTGATGAAAGTGATATAGAACTCGAAGAAAATTTTAAACCTATTGACTTTCAACTGTCAATAGTAAGTTGGCAACAATCATTTTGTTACATCATGGGTATATGACCTTAGTATTTTTGTTAATAAAGCTTCTGTAGTTCTCATTGTCTAAAAACATAGACAGCTGCTATTTCTTTTATGTAGGATAAAGATTTATAATATAATTCTTTAGTTAATAATAAGTCGATATCTTTTAAAAAATAATTATATTAATTATTATATTATGGACAGTTAGTAAATGTATAATTATAAAACTTTCTCAAGTTAAAGAATTTGTATCAGGCTGAATAGTTTTAAAGTAATTGGCAAGCATTAGTTGAATGACGTTTGAACTTACTAATTAACATATTTTCGACTGTGTAGCCAATTGACACGTTCAAACCTATTGATTAACTACCGGTTGAAGAAGAATGACATTTGAACTTACTGAAACACATATGCTCGATTATGTAATTATGAAATGCCAATAGATTTTAATGTGCCTTTTTGGGCAAACGTGGTGTAAGTAACCACTGTCAATACTTTACGTACTTAATGATGTTGTAGTTGTGCGATTTCAACCTTTCAACTTTGAGCACATTTCAGGGAAACTCTATCAAAATGGGATGTATTTTACAGGGCATCGATTGATATATATATATATATATATACACATAGAAGGTTCAAAATGTAGAGAAAACAAGGAAAAATTACAGAACAATAAAAAAAGNATATATGAAAATTGACAAGAGGGGTTTGAAACTTATTTATAATAGTATAGTTTATCAATTACTTTTCACTTAATTTTTATTTGGTTGTCATGATCAATTAAGGCCATAATAATTTTCCTCTCACATCAAAAGCCAAACTTGACATTTATCAGCGCATTTCAAAAAACAGCTGCAATTAGATCTTGACATTCTTCTTTATCGAAGCATCGAAAAACAATTGTTAGCAAGATTCATCGTTTGATTGAACTTAAAGTTGAGATGAGTGGTTGGAATTTCCACCTTCGGAAAACGCGGTTTTCAATCTGAAACTTCTAAATCACAGCTCGGTAGGCCCGCATCTGCAGGTATTTTTACGCGCGCCATCTATCGTCATCCGGCCAAGGTTTCGGGATTGGAAAATTTCTTCCCGCTCGGAACGGAAAATCTTTTCTAGTCAATCGCGTGGTCAGACAATTGAAAGCTGCTTTCTCTTACTAAAGCATCTTTGGGAATAAGAAAACATCTTAAACTGCTATTTCTAGAAAGATTTGAGTTAATTTCATTATGTTCATTTAACTTTTAATGCATTTTTTTTAAAGTTTTCTGATATAAGGTGGTTAATGTTTTCCTTTTTTTAATTGAATTAGGAATTGTGTTGGATATTCCTGAATTGTTTACTTGTGGATTACATCCTCTGATTGGTAAGTAGTTATTTGATTTCTTTATCCTTTCCCCAAACTTTTTAAAAATTGTTTTCCGAATTTTGCAAATTTCAAATGGCGGCGCTGGAGCGGAGCATCCCATTCGAGTTTCGATCGACTCCTGTTTCATCCTTTGGAGGATGGAGAGGATTCCATCTGTATTGATTATCTTTATCTGCCTCTTATGTAGATCATAGAAAACCTCCACCTGAGGATACAAATATTTTATCTATTTTACCTGAGGATACAAATATTTTCCTCAAACCTGATAAGCTTTTCAATTTATCACTGTCATAGGAAAATAATAGAGATAATGTAAACTCCTTAAGATTTGAAACCTGTTAAGTCTCCCATTCTGTTAAAAAAAAATTATCCTCTATACAGAAATAAACTTTTAACATCTTGTCCGCTTTTACTGGGTTGCAAAATAAAAGTCTGGGAAGCATACTTTACAATCCAAAATTGCTAAAACTCGATTTCTGAATGTAGTAGCAAATATTTTTTTATTTATAACTTTTAAGCATGTATATATATATATATTTTGCTAGAACCTGATCCAAGTGATAATCAAACCTTGATATATCTGTTGTCAAATTGAACGATACAATGAGGATTAAGTATGAAGTTGGCTGTGACAAAATAAAATTCAGTTCTTTGATGGGGGAAAAACGAAATTACTTTCTAAACAACTTAATATTTCAATTGAGTAGTTCATATGCAAAAGCTGCTGTTTTCTAGATCAAACTTGAAAAGGCATGCTGATTTCCCAAGTCAAAATTTTTGATGGTTTTCCATTGATGGACCAACATATTTTTGACCTTAACCATTAAAAATTCCATCATGAACCATTATATTTTTGATGATAATCAACATAAGTAACCATTACCCTTATGTAGGAATTCGAACTGATTTATGATGGTCCGACATAAGTATAGCAACATGTTTTCATGGTTTATTTAAGTTGAACCATCAGAAATTTCCATAATAGTTTCTTAGAAATCAAATAATGGAGGAATCATGAACCACCATCACCCCAATGTGGGAATTCGGACTGATTTTTGATTTGCCAACATAAAAAAAAAAACTGTTTCGATGGTATATGCTGAACCAACAATAATTATTACTTAACCATCAGGGAAATGTATAGTTGGAACCATCATGGACCATCACGGATCATCATGGATTGTTGGTCAATGAGAATCAAACATCTCTTGATGGTTAACCATAATAGTGTTAAAGTAACATTTTCCATCATGGAATGATGGAAGTTTGTTGGTATATAAAAAACCATGAACGCATAATGGAAAATGTTGGGTGATGGTGACCATCAAATGATGTTGGACCATCATGAATCGCACTGGAACCAACATAAACCATTAAAATGTTTCGATGGGACCATCAAGAATTTTGACTTAGGTTAATTTTTTTAAATAAAAATTCGTAAGAAAAATCATGAAAATCGAAAATTGAAGGGAAAAAGAGAACTCATGAATGCGATCAAAAATCTGATACAAATGAATCTGGTTTAACTGAAGTATTTAAAAAAGAAAATGATTCACCTGGAACTGGTTGAATTACTACTTAATGGTAATTAAATTTTAATAACGTTCATCACAGATTGTTTGAAGAAATTAATGTTATGTAGAAAATTTTGGTTTTATTCTGGTCAATTTAAATTTTGTACTTTTCTCAAAATATTTAAAAACTTATCACTCGAAATGCAAATTCAAAAGAGAGAAGAAAAACAGTTATAAATAATGTTTTTATTAGAACTGTTCCATTATTTTCTTCATATTTCATTCAAAAGTGACTATGGTTATAAATAAATTCTAAAAACATTAATATTACTTACTTTCGGTCACATGATCTTTTACATTCGTAAACTGCAATCACCTTTAAGATCAATTGATGGTAGTTAAAGCAACAAAGTGAAGTTACCGCATTAATCTTGCAGAAATTATCTATCGATGAAAGATATGGTATATCTGCCAATACCCAGAAATGCGAATAAGACTGAGTACATATATAATTTTCGCGTGACAAATAGGTGTGAACAAGCAATAAGAAAAACGTAAGAACAGGTCAGAGGATCATCTCTATAAGGTTAGACCGTGCTTACTTTTCTTGTATTGTTACTCACGTTCATTGAGAATATTTAACTTCTCTCATTTTTATTTCATGGCACTCCTTATTCATTTTGAAAGTTATGTAACTTAAACTTTTAAAGTTGGTTCCCATTTCTATTAGGTATCGAACACTTAACGTCATAGCCGTCATAAGAGTTGGGCAAACTGACCATTTTCCCAGGACCTCATATTTCTAGGAGGGACCCAGACCAGTTACAATATAAATTTATTTTTATTAGAACTCATTTTAGCCTTTTATTTTTTTAAAATTTCCTTTTATAAACGGCATTGCATAACCAACCCAGTTTACGACTATCAATGTTAAATTCCGTAGGTATGCAATTTTGGACTCAACCCTAATGGGGAATTCCTGAATAAAGCATTAGGGAAAACTAGCCTTCGTGGAGGACTTTTTCATGGAACTCACCAGCATTTGCTTTACATGGATTGAGTTTAGGTAAACCACGAAAACGTACTAAGATCCCTAGAACGGAATGTGGTCAACGGAAAGTGCTTCTACCCCATGATCCGTCTACCACTGAGAATATTTTACGTCAGCACTGCTGCTGGTGCAAGCCGGGAGCAGAATTCATATCAACCAGCCAGTGCTAGGATTCGAACGGCTGGTCACTTCACTAGTAGGCGATCGCTCTACCTCCTGAGCTATTTTCAGCGTTTTATTTTGTTTTATTTTATAACTAACATTAATCAGCCGACCAAATTCTGAGTTCATGACTATCAATGTTCAACTCTACAGCTTTGTAATCTTTAACTCAGCCCAGAAGACAAGAGAACTCCTGGAACACGCATTGGGCTAAATTAGCCATTTTAGCATAGAAATTTAAGTATTCAATTTGAAGCATAAGGATAATGAACTAAGCATTCCTCTAGAATTTAGTTGTCTTCATATTTCAAAGCCCCCACCCCTCATCAGAAAACTATTCATAGTTTTTAAAAACAAGGAATTATAAAATAAAATGTGGTATTTTTCGGTTGTCCGGGCCAAGTAAATTCAATAATTTATTTATTTAAAATGGACTAATGGACTAACAAATAAATAAAAAATAGTTTAATTTGCTTACTCTCGGCTGACCGAAAAGTACCGAAATTGTTAAAAACATTTTCAGTAAGTTTGACACTTAAACAAAAAATTTATTATTTCTACTTTATGGTTTCCGTGAGTGGTAATTCATTTAAAAAAAAGCAATTTTATAAATTAGAAAATCATTTAATAGAAAAAAATAATTTAGTCAAAAAACGGTGAATGAGAGAATCATCTGAGAAGATTAAAATGATCCTACAATATATGCTTTGCTCAGTGTTTAGCATAATCTAGCAACGGTACTGCTTGACGCTTGGGAATGAATTGCAATTGAATGCGCATCTGTGAATTTCTACGCTAATTGACATTAAAAAAATGTAAAAAAAGGCAACATTTTTACCTGTAGTCTAAGCGTCAAATGATTAGCTACATAATCATACTGATTAAAGTTTATCTAGGGTTAAAGGTTACATTAAAAAATAAGCCAAAATTTTTATTGAAAAAGAATTTTTTTTTTATTTGTTAGTCACCACATAAAACAAAATAAAATTAAATATTAAAAAATAATCTTTTTCCAGTTTATATGACGACTAAAACCCTAAGATTTCAAATATTATTTTTAAAGAAAAATTCATTAAATGATTTAGAAGCTTGCAAACAAAATAAAGGCAGAACATTTTTTTAATAATGTTAGCAAATTATAGTCAATATCAAAATCAACTAAATTCACAATATTATTATTTATTTTTTTTTTGCATCAAAATTACAATTTTTTAAAGATAGTTTTTAAGATAATCATAGATCTCTGTCACTTCAAGATAGTCTACAAATATTTAGTGCATATATCTCGTAAATAGGTGTTTTAATTCAACTCGGCAAAGTTGCGCAAATTAAATTCTTATTTGCAATCGTGTAATTTATAAACGTCTAGTGTTGGAAATAACTCATGAGAATTCTCACGTTCTAAAAGCAAATATAAAATTTTTACTGATTCTTAAATAAGTTAGAGCTCTATGCGTAAGAGTTTCAAGGTTTTAACGTTTTGAGATTTTAAAAACAAAATGTTCTAATGTGGTAAATTCCACAAGGAAACAATTACTAGTAAAAATTGAATTTAGACGAAAATTGTAATCATCATTATGCTTCAAATTTTTTTAAGCTATTATTTAATAGAATTTTGAGGCTTTGGGTATAAGTTGTTTCAAATTTAGTTTCCTGTAATCAACAAACTATTTACAAATGCAATAGTTTTTTTTTCTTCTTCTGAGGTAACTATTTGACTGATTAATACTAACAAACGTACGAATGACTTATCATTTATATATTCATGAATCTGTAAATTTTACTTAAAATGGATTATACATGTATTTCGTTCAAATTAACTTTTTAAAAGCTAAAAAGTAAATTTTGGGAAATGTTGATTGATTGTAATAAATCACTTGTTACGATTCATGAAACAAGTTTCCTGCTGAAGCAAATCTAGATTTGCATCTAACAAACGTCGCTTATGTCATACATTGCGCTCACGCAGTTTTTCGTGCATGTCTTTAAGAGCTAGATTTTTTCTTTAAAAAAAAATTGCATCAACCTTATTTTGTTGAAATATATGTGCTGTAAGTGTGAATGATCTGATAACGTTATATCGTTCTCTTTATACCAGACAGAGGGGAGGGACAAATATTCTTAGAATTTTTTGCGTTAAAAAGGAAGCTACCTGAAATTTCCTCCGATAATCGCGTTGAATTTCTTTTTACAAGTAGCTTTCTAGATGAAAAAATGAAATATAAAATTTATTTAGTCTAATATTATAAGTTATAATTATTTTGTCTAAT